GAAAATCACCGTTCAATTATAATTGGGGTAGGGGGCAGTCCATTTTTACAAAATTTGGCCGAAGACTTCTGTTATTTTTATTTTTATTTTATTTTTTCAACTTGAACTAGGAGAAATCTGGGGATGGGAGTGGCCAATAGGCCACTCAGTGTCGAACGGTCGAAGACTTCAGAGTTCAGCTCGAAATGAATATGGTCCCAAATAATACAAGAAGACAACAAGACAGAACAGGGACCTAAAAAAATATATCAGTCCTGACCAAAAATGACAATAGCATTTTAATAATATATGATGCCTGACGGGATTCTTCCTTATCTCTCTTCTTCGTTGATTTTCTCTTCGGCAGACATTTTTTCTTTGCCTATGTCTCCTCATTTTGTCTTCGTTGTAATGATGTTGACGTGCACACAAGCGTGACTATTATTATGTTTGAATGGGCACGGACATGACCATCAGTCTATTACCATGGTCTAAAGGCTAGCTACATTAGGAATTCCGATGAAAATTTTCCACTCAAATAACACTCGTATGAAAGTTTTTAGTTAAACTAAACAGACTTTAAATTTAAGTTTTTTAAAAAGAAGAAGAAAAAAAAGAAGAAGCTTCAAGCCTTCAACAAACTTAATTACTGCTACTTTCATTACAGAAACAAGGAGAAAAATATAAGAAAATGAAAATCACAAATGGATGAAGCTAGGCAGGCGTTAGTAGTTGTTATGCCTCTTCTTCATCTCTCTCCGGTGACCGGCAAATACATCTCCATGTCTCATAATCCAAAACCTCTCTATCTCTTCAGCTTTGCGCCCCGGGATGCGACCGGCTATCAACGCCCACCTGTGTCATATATTCGTACGGCTTTCAAGTCATCATTAAATGAAGCAGCTTCAACAGTCTCTAAAACGACATGCAGGTGCAGCAAAGCAGCATATATGTATCTACTCAACTCAAATGGGCTCATCTCATCAAGCAAGGTGGAAGCACTTAAAAAATTGAAAATGGCAAATGATTTCCTTGAAAATTTTACTTATTAGATGAAACTATATGCATGCTATATATAAAAAGTTGGGGGTACCTGTCGCCAACGAGTCTATACATTCTATAAATGAGATCTTCTTCTTGTTCCGACATGTTTATGAAATCCCACTCGATGCTACTCACCTCTGCCACACATATTTTGGGTAAGAAAACAAAGTCATCACTCCAAAACCAAGAATGAATTGCAGGGAAAAAAAAAAAAAAAGGAAACCCAGAAAACCCAAAAGGAATTAAACGAAGAATGAAGACAACCCATTAAAGATTCAAGGGAAACATACAAAACCCAGGAAGGAAAAAACCCACCTTCAGAGCAGCAACTGCTGGTCTTGGGTTGCTTCCGGCGACGTTTGTCCATTTTCTTTTCTTTTCTTTTTCCCCAGAAGCTGCAAGTGTTGGTGAGGATTTGAGAATAGAAAGTCTCAAGAGCAATTAGTGAGATATATACGTGGAGAAAAGTTGAGCAACAGTTTCCTAAGAAGGAATTTAAGAAATACTATTTCACAGTAAATATTTGGGGGGGGTTTTTAAATGTGGGCTTTTAAATGGGCATAGAGAGGCGAGCCTTGTGAACAAATGCTAGTAACGGCAGGTCCTACCAAACAAACAAAATAAAACTAGTTGACTTGCGGTTGTTCCTGTTTAAACCTCATAAACATAGTCAAAGCTTTGTTTTGAAGGGCGTTACATGGTTATTGTCTACAATAATTTTGTTTTACTCACTAAAATTGTTAAAATTTTATTGATAATTAAAAATAATTAATAATAGATAAATTAATTAATATTTATTATTTAATAAATTAAAGTTAGTTTATTAACAAATATTTTTAAATATCATAAAAAAAATTTTAACAAATAAAATTACAAATAAAATTAATAGTATTCTTTTGTATCTTTTTGTTAAAGCTTATGAAAAGAGCTTCTCTACTTTACATATGATTGGGTGTGCT